AAGGTCGTGAAGACAAGTTTGATAGGTTCTTAGATCCATTGGAAGGGGGGGGGGTATGAAAATGAATGCATGTTATATTGGGGATATTAGCAGTTATAACGTCTAAGTGTTTAAGAAGTTGTAGGTTGAGAACTGTTGAAGCCTTGAAATTAAATTCTTATTTATTTTATTGTTGAGGAAGTCTATTATTACTTCAAGAAGAGAAGATCGACGGGAAGTCGATGAAAATGTAACTGTGACGCTCTAACGATTGGCACTATGCTAGCATACCCTCGCTCTACCTGCCCTTTGGCAACAGCGTCTCACCAGTAACATGCTACTCAGTCTGTAAGGCATGAAAGCGCTCGCTTGTTGCGGATGATATTACATCACTAACTAATTCCCCTTTGCATAGGCCTGCTGTCGCGTACGACCGCCTTGAGCCGGTGAAAAAGTTCGCCGAATTGACGAGTGACGTTGATATGTAGCGTGTGCTACTCAGCATGTGCGCATCGGGACAACGCAGACACAGGGTCCAAAAAGGTGTTGAATATCTTTAAAAATACCGGTATTTTTCCATACCTCTATCAAATACCTTTATTCGTTTATACCGGTAAAATACCTTTATAGGATATCTATACCGGTTTGGACGTCCATAAAGGTTATACCGGTATTTTCAATGGAAAATAATGTCCTTCTCACCATCCACCCAGAGAAAGTAACTTCCTTTCGTTAATTATTTTGCGAAATGCTTATAAATAAAATTTAAAAAATCATGCATGCACGCAAGCACGCCCACCCTCTCGTCCACGCACGCGCTAGGTATACGCGCGCATGCGCCTTCACACACCCCCTAATCAGGCGCCCCCTCTCTCTATCATTTCTCTATCTCTATCTCTCTCCCTCTCGCTCTCTCTCTCTGTCGCTCTCTCTCCCTGTCGTTCTCTCTCCCTCTCGCTCTCTCCCTTTTGGTCTCTCTTGCTCGCTCTCAGGCTCTCTCTCACTCGCTCTGACGCTCTATCTCGCCCTCTCTCGTTCTCTCTCTCTCTCTCTCTCTCTCTCTCTCTCTCTCTCTCTCTCTCTCTCTCTCTCGCTGCTTCCCTCTCGCATCCCCTGAAGCTGGGAATAGCCCCCGGAAAAAAGTGGAAAATACACTGCGCCATAAAGTTTCTCCGTACCGAGCCAAATCAGGGTCTCCCATTAAACATTGCATTGATATCGTCAGCAACCAGATCACTAGGAAATAACACTTCCAACATCTCCAACATCTATTATGATTGTGGTGAGTGAGTAATTTACTTTTAACAAGTTTCAGCTCGTTCTACCACCCTATTTTCTGTTACAAGCACTGTTGCAAGGTGCCGCTGCGGAAAAACTTTCCTGGCGCGCTATACAGAATGTCCGAGGAGGAAAGGTCGACACTGCGAATATAAGCTTTTAAGACAAATTAAAGCATATTTTGTCTAATAAACTACCTGGATATTCCGAATGATTGAGCTGCAATGACTACTCAAAAGTTGATTTGAAAACATGTTTTCTAGGCACAAATGTGCATTGCAGGAGCATTGCACACTAAGAAGATGTAAATTGTTTAATATTCATCAAAGAAATAAACATAATTTTTCAGAAAGAAAAATTAGCACAGAAATAAAAAATATCCAATTTACACAAATCGGCTGTTTTTTTTATTGCTGGTTTAATTTTTCTTTCTAAGCAAATATATTAATTTTTTTAAAAATATGAAATAAAACACAATTTACAAATATCTAAAATGAATTTATGCTTATAGAATGCAAAGTTTTGCCTAGAAAGCATTTTTTCAAACCAACTTTTGAGTGCTTATAGAGGATTTGCCAATCGGAATACCCAAGTAGTTAATTAGACAAAATATGCTTAAAATTGGCTTGAGAGCGAAGTGTCGACGTGTCCTCCCCGGGCATTTGTAGCGAGGCGGGGCCCGCACCGGAAGAGCGGGCGTGCCGCGGCCCAGTGGACTCACCCGAGAAAACCGGGTTGCCCTCTGCGCCGGCCTCGGCCTCGGCCTCCTTCTGGCGCTGCAGGAACTTGTCGAGGAAGTCACGTGCCTCGCTGTCCACGTCCAGCGCCTCGCGGTGCTCGCGGATGGCTCTCTGCGCACACCAGCAAATGGCGGACGCCCACTCGCATTTGTTAAGAGAAACGCATTTGGACACAGTAGAACCTCGCTAACCCGAACAAAATTGGGAAGAAGGAAAAGCAAACAAAAGAAATACAATGATTATTTTTTGTTGAAAGGATTTTATAATTACTGTAGAACTGAATAATTATTGGAACACAAGTTGTCGAAATGAAATGTTTATTGCACTGGTAACTACGGTGTATATCACATGTTTATGTAGCAGTAATTTTGATGTAAAGGAACGTGCAAAATCGGTAATTTTCTTTTGCCGTAAGGAATTGAAACTGCTTGATGATACGATGTTATGATATGATGATGTGGTGTCATTTTCTCGCATCGCTCGCTACGTTGCAATGTCTGGTAATCCTACAGATGTACTTGTACTGAACATTTTTTTCGGATAATCCGAACATTTGGGAATCAAAGCACACAATTACTTCGGTTTACCGGGGTTCTACTGTAAATACAAACTCTTAAAAAATGATAAACAACAAGTTAATACAAACAACAAAATGCCAGTTGCGGATCTGGAGGGGGAAGCATGGGGGCCATCCCCCCCCCCTCCCAAGACCTCGAGTTTTCGTTTGTTTCCTTCCTTTCTATGGAAAAATTGATTTACATATATATTTATGTTGGAACTATGTAATTGTTTAAATAATAATAAACATACGATATAATATCATTTATACTGCATAAATAATATACTATATAACAAATATGTTTATTTAACAAAAATCTATGACTCCCCCAACCCAAATGATCGGCTGGACCCACCCCTACATAATACAAACAATGAAATTAACATTACCATTTCAAAACTATTCTACAATAATAAAAAGGAGATAATACAAAATAGATACATTTTTTAAAACAAAATCAATTAAAATTTCAAAAAGTAGAACAGAATAAGTTCGCAATTTACCTCGCTATATATGGCGAAACTTGCGAGATTGCGCACAGAGAAGTTTGAAACGGAGTTTTAATATATTTCTGGTGCTATGGATTGGGGTCGGAGATCTGGTTAGTCTTTTAGGAAATGTCTCAAGAGGCGGGGAGTCAGTTTGTGGTGATAAGTGTATAAAAAAATTAGTAGAGGGGTCATAGGGAAGTTGGTTTAAACGTTGGGAGTTTCTCCTCAACGTACAAGGAAAAGAGACACTGCTTGGAATGAAAAATGCGAAAGATTTCTAATGCACTTCTGTCAGAATTTACGTTATATTTCAAGAATTTTAATGTCTGAGTCGGAGTGAAATGTGTGGTTTATGATTATGGGATGTGTAGCAAAGTGCAATATGTGTGTGTTACTATAATTTCTTGGCAACGCCCACGCGGCAGCGCGTCACACACGCGGCATACGATAAAGCCGTTTCAATTATTTTCGGAAAAGAAGCGCGAATGATTACGATTGCATCAGTTTACGGTTCAAATACTACGTAAACACTTTCTGATGAATAACTGTTTCTATGCATTTAAATAATATGAATGGGAATCAAAACCGAAAACTCAGCAATGATTTTGTTATGCTACCCAGATTAATTCATACATATAAGATATAAATGTTAATCAGACCGAGACATAACTAGAATAATTTCGTCCAATTTGAGTCAGTGACAACGCTAAAGAGCAATAGATTTGTACAAAACATGAAAGTTTTATCAAATTAAGAAATTTCCTCAATTATACAGAGCAATTGGTATCGCATATAATTTTTTTTTAATTTATTGCTTCTCATTCGAAACTTTTATCAATCGAGAACTTTGAACTTAGACACTTTTTAAAGCTTCACAATTTTACGCTGCATATGAGATAAAAATAAATTTTTTAGGTATATGCATTTCCGTACTAAATCATGATACTGTAAGATAATGATTTTTCAACCACAGATATATTTCACTGAACAATGTAGTAGGTACGCTTTGAATAAATCACTGTATTAGAATAGCTTGTATGTTTATAGTATTTTATCTACTCTTTAATGTAATAGTATTATGAAATGTATTATTTTTCTCCAGATCTTGAGTTCAGAAATAATTGCATGGCATTATTCGCAGTCTTGATAAGATGTTAAAATTTCTTACATTCTAGATTCACGAAATTGGCAGACAAATATTGTGTTTAACCCTAGATTACAAAGGCGTCGTCTGTCAGACGACGCAACTAGTGACGAAAGCTTCCCCCACTCCCTTCTTCTCACACCCCGTTTCCGAAACTCTGTGTACCTTCATTGTGAGACTAGCCAGTGAAATAAACGTAACGTTGTACGCGCGCATTTCCGGGAGATGACGTTTTAACACGCGTCGTCCAGTAGACTATGCCTTTTAGTTACATCAGTGATATATTGGCGCTTTATTAATTAATATTGTAAATAATGAATGTAAACTCCTTGTCTTGTAGCATTAAAGTTTTTTTTCGAACATTTAGTAATCACAATGGGACGATGGCGATCATAACTAAGTTTTGAATGGTGATGAAGTACTTCTGCGGACGCTTCTCAAAAGCCATGGGTGGGCAGCTGCAAGCAAGTGTCTGCTGAGAGTCAAGTCATTAGGGTGTATGTATAAAAACATTCAAAATGTATTTTGTTTCTACTTATCGTACATGTTCAATCCATTAAATTAAGTGTTTTGATGTAAAAAGGAGTTTTATGTTAATTTTTACGCAAAGCAGTATGTCAGACTACGCCTTTGTAATAATGAATCATACGGTACAGGTACGAATACCTTTGTAACTCGGAAAGAAGAAGACAAATCGTTTTTCCTCTCTCTCTTTCTCTCTCTCTCTCTCTCTCTCTCTCTCTCTCTCTCTCTCTCTCTCTCTCTCTCTTTCTGTGTGTGTGTGTGTGTGTGCGGTGGCGGAGGCTCACCTTGACGAAGTCGCGCATGGGGACGTTGAAGTCGGTGACGTCCTGCAGGCCGAAGCGGCGCGGCGTGAGGAAGCGCAGCCAGGGCGTGAGCGAGACGGCGCTGCCGGACGGGTCGGTGGCCCGGAAGAAGTTGCTGACGGAGCGGTGGATGCGGTGCCAGGGCGCGTGCTGGCCGCGCGGCAGGCGCGCGTGCCCGAACATGGCCCACATGGCGTTCATGGCGTACGGCGGGAACAGGTGTGAGATGAGCACGCGGTCGCCGCGCTTCACCTCCTGCGGCCAAGGCGCAACGTGGCAAGAACGGGCGGAGGATACTTATTTATGCACCGAGGCCGTTATAAGGGTTCTACTGATCGAGCATGCATCCAGGGCGTTTGGCCGAGATCATTAGAACCAGTTAACGCCCGTAGCGATACATAATTTTTTTTAACCTAATTTTATTGATTTAGATTTACTTATTTACTATTTAACTAGATCATAACGTGACTCTCTCATATTTCCTTCACATAATTCCCTTTCATAACTTCCTCTCGTAATTTCTTCTATAAGAGAACATGTATCATCATTAACTGTTTTCATATTTTGCTCGTAACTATCCATTCGATCCTAGTTAATTATGCAGTGTATATCGAACTCAGTATCGAAGGCAATAACAATCAATAATGAATCAGTAAAAAATAAAAGTGTTTCGATATAAAATAAATGTAGAAACTAATAATGCTTCAGCGGCAGATAATTGTTTTTTTTAATTGTTTTGTTTGCATCCAATTGAAATGACGCAATATGGTCTCTTGCATTTAATTACTCAGATCTTTGTTCATGTAACTAATCTCAACGATCTCGGGAAGGAAATAATTAATAACTACTATTTCAGTTATCAACTGTCCTTCAGAAACCCGGAACACGCGAAGTCGCACTAATCTTCCTGGAGCGAACTCTTTGTTGACTTCTAGAAGACTACTGATATACCCACGTCTATCCACACACCCCGCCCAACTCCTCTCCCAGAGCCATGTACTAGTATGATCTAAGCTATCAAGAAATAGACACGTCTCTCTCGCGGTGGCTGACGTTTAGGCCAACAAGTTGTGGCCTTTCTCAGAGCAATTTGGTCTTGGGAAGGCCACGTCATGTTGGCCAAAACGTCAGCCACCTCGACAGAGACACGGCTCATCCCGGATAGCCTAGACTATGCAAATTCAGGCCGCGGAATCCTATGCAATCAAAGCCTTATGCTCATTTCCCGCCCAAAGGGATGCACGCCTCGTTCGCCCACTCGCCCTCAGAGCCTTCTGCTCATCTCATTAACCCAGTCAACCAGAGAACATTGTGCTCACGTGGCCTGCCCAGTCGCCCACAGAGCCTTGCCCTTACCTCATCTGCTCAATCGCCCATAGATCCTTGTCCTTCCATTCGCCCAGAAAGCCTTGTTCTCATCTCTCGCCCAGAGAGGCACGCACACACGTCGTCCCCTCACTCGCTCAAACAGTCTTGGGCGCCCCTCCCTGCGACCCCTTCGCTCAGAATGCGCTGTGATCACCTCCTCCGTCCAGTCACCCAGACAGCGTTGTGCTCACCCTGTCCGCGCACTCGCCCTTAGAGCCTTGCGCTCACTTCGTCCGCCCACTCGTCCAGACAGCCTTGTGCTCACCTCGTCCTCGCTCTCGTCCAGAGAGCATTTATAATCACCTCGTCCGCTCACTCGCCCAGACCACCATCCTTACGCTCACCTCGCCCGCCCTCTCCCTCGCAGTGTCCTGCTCACTTCGTCGTCCCACTCGCACAGAGAGCCTTGCCTCGCAGTGTTCTGCTCACCTCGTCCGCCCACCCACCCAGAGAGCCTTGCGCTCACCTCGACCGCCCTATCTCACCACCCCAGTGTTGTGCTCACCTCGTCGTCCCACTCGCCGCGCAGCAGCGCCGTGGCGTCCGCCAGCTCCTGCTGCATGATCTCCTCGGTGGCCGGGAAGCGGCGGCCCCAGCCGAAGTCGCGGATGTGGCGCAGCAGGAAGCGCCGCAGCTCCGACCACTGCGGCCCGTCGCTGAAGATCACCCCTGCGCACAAGCCAGTCCACCCGCTGTCACTCCCACGCTCCTGCCCCGAGTGGCCGAGGACACGAGGTCTTTGACACACCTCCTGCCTTATAAAACGAATCCCCGTAAGTACATTTCGGAGGCTACGAGTCCCGTTGAGAACGAAGTCCGCGAATTAATTGAAAATATACATTTTATAAGGCAGGAGGTGTAACAATGAACTCATGCCATCTGATACTTTACAATATTAAAGTATATACTGCGATTTAAACATACTGAGACTGCAAGGTCACGAGATGGATGGAGAGAGGGACACTGTCATCCCGGAGCCATATTGAGATTTGAAATGTTGGTACTGGAGCCTCCGATTGGATGACAACGTTCCCCTCGACTTCCAGTTTTTGACTTTGAAGAGCCACTACATTTAAATTGGAGTATACCCAATTTTTCACTCGACATTGCTTTGCCACGAGAAATCCGAACACTTGTGAATAAACGCGAAATCCAAACACTAGTCGCGATCCAAATCCAGACACTTGTGAATAAAATCGCAAAAGAACGCCGTGAAATTATAGGTTGTACATTTCACGTGGCTTTTTCGCGATTTTTAAAAAAATTGACTGTGGTGGCAAAATTCTGCTTCAGAATCGGATTCAGCCCGTCGACTTTCTGGTACGTACATATATATATATATATATATATATATATATATATATATATATATACTCTTAGATAGGCTCAATGCCCAAAAAAGCTAGAAACGTGTTGCGAAAAAGACAACAATCTTTTAAAAAAGAAAGCAGGGGTAGCAAAAGCTGAGGGAACAGAGGCAGAGGCACTCACCGTATCTCTGGCCCAAGGAGCGCTCCCTGGCGACGATGACGTCAGCGCGGCCGATGAGGTCGGAGCGCGACTGCATCTCCTTGATGTCCTCGTAGTCCTTGAGCATGACGCAGGGGAAGTCGCCCAGGTAGAAGCCCAGCACCTTCGTCTTGTAGCGCTCCGCCAGCGTCAGCAACGACTTGTGCATGAAGCGGTAGTCCTCCCACAGCATCAGCCAGTAGCTGCCCCATATCGGAAGCCGCGGGGGACCTGGCCACGCACAAAGATTAGATATGAAATAACAGGACTACCGCAATAATACATAATATTTATTTGACAAAATAGGCTGATAGCCAGGCTTAAGGTAGGTTAACAATAAGCCTACAGATTTACTTTTCATCTACATTTACAATACAAAAACAATTTAACGCAATAACGGAAACTACAACCACTTCAACTACTACATTAAAATATGGTACAATATAGGATCTGCCTTTAGAGATCCATACGACACCAACTGTTAACATTAATGATAATTTTTAAAAATTGCAGATTCATAGGTACAATTCATAGGCAAATTTTACACAGATTTACCACCCACACTTCATTAACTATGTGCCTAGATGTTTTAATTATTCGTGCAGTGCCAAAAAATTAAGTCACATGCTAATACTGTTTTGGTATCCTGAGACGGATATTTTCTGAACTTGGGGTCCGAAAGGGCCTTCCGACGTGGAAAGAGATGCCACGCCCTTATTTTAAAGAACTAGTTCAACATTTTCCTCGTTGCTCAGAATTCTCCACTGAGTGTGACAGAAAAAATAGACCTAAACGATACATTCACTCATAGCACTGTTGCTGTTTTGCTCTTCATGATTAACGTATGGGTATCTGCACGAGTTAATCGTTGCGAGAATATATGTTAACTTTCATAACAATTGTAATAATATATTTTATTCTACTACCCCCCATAAAAGTAAGAAGAGAAAAGTACGCCGTGTTCACTAATCAAGAGCAGCACACTACAATTCCAGCAAAATGAAGGAAATTGAGAATTGAACGGAACGTGAGCGTTCCACGTTTTCGAATATTTCCGAAGGGTTATTTTTAAATCATTTTCATCACTGAATTATCCTGCTCCCCAATTTGTTATCCATTTTTCCTGGTTTCACCAGTTTTCAGATTTTACTGCGCTCCATAGAAAAATATCAGGTAATTCGAAACGCGTAAAAATCTCATCATTGTCTCACGTCCCAACCACAGGCGCGAAGCAATCAAGTACGTGGGGGAGTGGAGGAAGGGAAGTGGACGGCAGCAATCTGCCGAGGATGGGTCTTGTTTGAAGGCGGCACTTGCAATCGCCTAACGATACAGGTAGCGGTGCACTTTTGGTTAAGCGTCTTCTCCTTCATTGATGTGTTGTGTAATTTGAGGGAAATGTCCTTTGTCAATTGTTTCTTTTTTATATTGTCTCAATTTGAAGAGGAAAAGAGGCAATCTTAAGCATCTGGGGCACTACCTTTAATAAACCCTCACCAATTTTCTTCATCGCCTACTTCGCCGAATACGTGGATGAAATTGTCAGGTAAGTATCAATAATTAAAACTAAAAGAAAAGTTTTCTATGTACAGTTTTAAAAACCCTCAAAGTTTTCGTTTAGAAAGGAATTAGAGCTTTCTTATTTAAAAAATGTTCATTTTCGTTTTAAATGAACGGTATTAAGCCCCAGATGTGTTATCGCTTGCTATTATTAAAAGGTTTTCGTTTTGTAGTATAACCACTAAATTTTTAAAAAATCGCAAAAATAATATAATGAACGCTTATCTGTCGATATTTGTTCATAACATAGTTATCAAAAACTATATATCAAGTTGTTTGTTGTCATGGTTCTTTTGTTTTAGGAATTGCAAAATATTATAGTATGTCTTTTGATTACTTGAAAGCACATTTTCACGTTATAACGAACTGTAAATGTTGACCTTAGATATCACTGAAAATGTAAGTCTGTTATCACCTTTTCTTTTTCGCTCACGCAATCCGTTTGAGTGCAACCAGTTTATCGCCGTTGAATGAACACTTAAAATGAATGACGCGTTAGAGATGCATTAAGTCACACGATACGATGAGTTGGCAGAGTAAAAAAAAAGATTTACCTCGCAGTTGTTAAGTTCTAGATGATCTGATTAAATTTGATTTATTTTCGTAAAAAAAACAACAGAAAAAATTATGTGACGCGTAGAAAAGTATAATAAACACGTGGCCCTGAGCTTCACAATCCTTACCCCAGCTTTTACTATACATAGTACGTGATTGATAAATAAAAGAATCAACAAAGAATGGTTAGAGCAAGAGAAAACTCATCTGCATTGGAAAATTAATTGATTTCATAACATTTGGCGTGACGTTTGACACCTACTACAACTAGAAAAAGGCGAGCTCAACAAACCATGTCCAAAGCAAACCAACGTGTATGCCCCAAAACTTTCAAGTGGCGATCAATATTTCAAAACTAGAAATATTCGCTCCAGGGTCAAAGAAAACTTATTTAGTAAACGAAGTACAGATTTGATTTTATAGAATTGCTAGCAAAACAGCAACGCACCACGTCGGAGAGCGACAGCTTAGCATTTGTCAACTTTGAACGGATTATTTTCGTTAAACGATCAAGCACATGTGTTACTAGTGTTTTATTCAGTCCAAAACAAAAAAAGAAAAACAAAACGTAGGGGGAAAAAGATTATCTGCGCACGATTTCTTGAGTTCCAGAATCCCTTCCCGTCATTTTAACTATAAATCGTTGAAAGATGAGTAAAAGTTTAATAAATAAATAAAAATAAATTTTAAAAATCGCAAAATTAGCAATATTTGAAAAATAATCATTTTTGTTTCCGAGTTTACCGAGAGAACGTATTTGCATGGGTACACGAATTGCAAGTATGATTTTTCTGCATTGCTAACAAAATAGCAACTTGCCCCATACTCGTATCTCTACTCTTACCATTACAAGCAAAAGGAGAATTCAACTAACCGGGCGCATAGTGAAGCTACATTTACGTCCAGAAGAAAAACAAGAGGCCATCTCAGCATTTGCTCAATGGATCAGGGAAACTAGACAAAAACGTGATCGAGATGGGGGTCATTGACCCGGAAGCTGAAGTACATTATTTGTTACAAAGAGTAAGAGTATATCAAAGGGATTTTGAGCTACTACTTAAAGAGCGCTATCCAAGGTGAGAGAAATATTGCGTGTTGGTCCCACTCTAGAACCTCTTCGTTTTTGTTTAGTGTTTCATAACGACATTTTAATGAACGTGCGTAAAAAAGGAGATGCGAGGACTGTCTCATGATGCCAATCGCGAGGAAAGTTCAGGCAGCAGATCGCATCAAGTTTTGCAAGGTTTTCTGAAAGTCGCCTGGTAAGCAGAGCCTGAAATTAAAAATGGCGATCGCCAGGCTACGCATTAATATCTCAGGTATCCGAAAACAATTTTGTTTGCATTCTCATAATGTGAAAATGACTATGAAAGGATGTGAAATACTCATGTGTATTTACCTTTTACAGCAATTTCAGAAACAAAATTTCACATTTTGGAGTAGTTTACTGTATGTTGGTATGTAGGCGGCCTGATTAATTCAAATTTGGCGGCATACTTGAACTCAAACATTCTGACAATCCTTTGGAGTTAATTAAGAGCAAAGAACTTACATTTCAAACATCGCTCTTTCGAGTTTCTTGAAAAATCCGCGAACACTCACTCACTCTCTCTCTCTCTCTCTCTCTCTCTCTCTCTCTCTCTCTCTCTCTCTCACACACACACACACACACACAAGGAGAAAAATTCATTTTGTATGAAACTCTTTGAACCAAACTTTCGAGCTGCTTTTAAAAATGTCCGAGAAATCTCGCCTGCTTTTGGGCGCCGAGCCAGCAGCATGGCACATTGTCGGCAAATTCCCGGAATTAAACGCCTTTCCAATAAACTGCAATGAGACTGCATTGTTTGAAAATCTGGAGCCGAGCAGTTGCGTGGCAGATCGCCTCGTTAAGGCGAAAAGCTAAAGAAACACGCATGCATCGATTAGTCTGAAGGTCAAATTTATATGCATGAGGTTCGTGTCTGTTTTATGATAACCGTATGATCTATGAAGCAAAGTGTTGGCATGCAATCCTCGGGTAACTCGTCGTAGCACAAGAGAACAACAGGCGGGAAAGGAAAATACTTTCCTCTCTCCCAGACAAGGTAATACTGCCAACTTCTTCAATACCTAGTGATTTTTACGCCGAGGTGCTAACCGTATCGATTGCGTGTCGTTTTTCAGAATCTCCTCTTCTGACGAAAACAAAGAAAGGCGATTGGCAGGTTTTTCTTAGTGCAATTTCTGAAAAATCACTTCCAATCATCTAAGCAATATTTCACTTTAACACCCCCAATAATGACTGGACGCACACCCTCCTAAAAAAGTTCCAATAAAAAAGTAAAAAAAGATCTCCATAATGTTACATGTTTCTTATATCCCTGATGCGTACCGCCCTTTTTTATGGAGACTTTCCTGGCCCACACAAAATCGTCAATATGTCAACAACGTTAATGATGAGTACTAGTTGTTGAAAAAAGTTTGTGTGTTTTGTATTTTGAATCCGTGAGCGTCTCCGTGAACTTCTCTTTCTTTAGAGACCTCATGTGTAAATATCGGTTGCGCCGCATAAGGTCGCAGAAGGTATGTCTACTACTGACATAACATAGGAGACGATACTCGTTTACAAGCGCACTATTGTACTTGTAAGTGCTGCTTCTCACGTAGCTTAACTTTAACAGCTTCACGCGTGAAATCAATAGAGTGATCTTCCAACGGCTCATATTGGCGTATAAATTAATTACGGTAAATTAAAGGTGTTGTCTGGTACCAAAAATTTATTTTACTATTGGTCGTTTCGATCGTGTAGCGACCATCCTCAGAGCTAAAATTAGAATTACCGAAATAAAATTACATTAATACATGAATTATAAAAAATTAGATATGCGTTATTACAAAATGTAGACATTGTATGCCAGATGCGTAAGCTAACTGGGTCGTACATACCTTGCACCTTTCGGGCCAAAAAAAGTGTTCTGCGGTTTTTAGAGAGTGCGTCTTGTTTACGAACAGAGCGTCGATCGGCAGCGGGTGTGGGCGGGAAGAGGGGTGGGGTGCGGGCGAAGGCTCGTAAGACGCGGGGGTGCTGGTGGAGGCGTAGGAGGGGTCGGGCGAGTGGAGTTAGGGAGGGGGGT